ATCGGGAAAAATCGGGAAAATGAAACTTATATATTTGTGGTCTATTATAACCCCTAAACCTAATGGTATATAATTCCCGATGATTTTGTTAACTATTTTATTCGGGAATTCCCGAAAATTGGAAGCCTTAATTATAAGTAATTGGCATACGTGTTATGCATAATTATATATTTGGTATTTTTTATTTTAGATAGACGTTTATTTTATTTGTTTTGCATTTGCAAAACTTTCTGTATCCTTTACATACTGTATGTGTTTTTGTCTATTCGTTTGTATTTTCTGTTTGTTTTGCATGTTTTCTGTGTTGTATCAAAAGTGAACTCATTTTTTCATCTATTTTTCAGATTTTAACTCATTTGATCTCTTTTTCCTAATATTCTCACTAGATATGCAACTTTTTCCAATTTTCATTTCCCTGCCCTGCCCTGTGATTTTTGCTTAGAGGGAATCCCTGCCCTGCCCTGTAGAGGCTAACAGGGAACCCCGGGGAATCCCTGTAATTTCCCTGTAAACGTTTTTAAATAGATATATCTTATAAAAACGTTAATTTTTGTCATTATATTTCATTATTTTAATAAATAAACGTGAAATAAAACTCTATTATAACAATTTAACTGTATTACAACCCCTTTTATCTAAGATAACAAAAAATTTATTCACAAATATTATCACAATAATCACTCACTTTCTGTATTACAGGGAAATTAGAGGGAAATTTTCTTACAGGGATTCCCTCTAAGGGTTACAGGGATTCCCTCTCCCTGCCCTGTTCATTGAATCTCATTTCCCCGCCCTGTATTTTCCCTGTACAGGGAACAGGGAATCCCCGTGGAATCCCTCTAACAGGGAAAATAAGTTGCATATCTAATTCTCACTCCTTATGTAGGACTCATTTTCTGTCCGTTAATTTTCATTATTTAATTATTGTTTGTGTTTGTGTTGTATTTGTGTACAATTGTTACGTGTGTATGTGTATTACAGTTATGTTTCTTATTGTGTGTTTATTTACTTATTTATTGCTAATTTTATATTAATTATTTCATTTTCACACTTTTCATTTTATTTATCTCATTATCTCTCGCTTTACTCTTATTATCATTGCTTTTTGCTTATAATGTATTTTCCTTTTTTGTTTTTCATTTTCCCTTTTAACCACTTTTTATTTTCTCTTATCATTTCTGTTATCAATAGCTCTTTACTTTCTCTCATCTTTTTATTTTTCATTTCATCTCTTTATCATAACTTTTTCATTTTTCACTTATCTATAGTTTATGTGTTTGAGTGTAATTAAATGTAAATATATTTTATACTAATGTTATATATTTTTTATAATTACTTATTATATTGAAGCCGTCAGCGATGGGTAGCGCCGACCGGAGCGGTACGGCCTATAGAGTCGATGAGCGGCTGACGGCGGAGACCGTCGCTCAGAAACTCGGCGACCGAACGGCTCGCACATCATTATAATGTGCTACACAGAGAATAATACTATTATAGCTGAATTATTCATAGCTAAATTGTGGTTAATAAATTGACAAATCATTATTTAGTAATTAAATTAAGTCTTAGGTAATTTCATTATCGTTACGTTGCATTCTGTGTGTTGAATATTCATATATTCTTACTAGTCCCAGGTTGAATTTTGCTGAAATAAAATATTATAATGACAAAATAAGATTATTTATTATATCAAAGTTAGTATAAAACAACAACTCTTGCTCATAACATTAACATTATAAAACAAATTTGTTAGGCTTAAAGTTGGTAAAAGGTTTGACCATTAACAATATTAGGAATCACTATTGGTTCACATTTATTACCATGTATTATTATCATGTACGGTATTTGATGGCCGTAATTGCGGTGATAACTATACTATACAAGTACATGTAAGTATTTAATTGTGTTAAATTAAATCCCATATTAAAGTCGGCAATAATATTTATTACAGGAAGTGGAGGCGTATACTGAGCTATTGGGAAAGGGTGAACATACCGGGCCCGACACCGGTGCCACTCTATGGCAACGTATTAGCGCTGAGTCTAAATCCGAGACCATATTTGGAGCTCAAGTGGTATAAAAAATATGGCCGAATATACGGGTAATAAACAACTTATTAACTAATTAATTAAACTAAAACGTTAGTACATTATTAGTTAAGTAGACTGTATTTAGGTTAAGTGTGTACAGAAAAAACTCCTAACTACTTCTTACATATAACCCTTGTGTTGTAAGTTATACACTAATTAATTGTATATGTTAGTTACATATAGTGTACTGTAATAAATTATAAAGTCAATATTTTAAAACCATTTTTCATTCAATAAACACGTCATATTAAAAATAATTCATATTTCACCATGAACCCTTTTAAGTTAGATTATTTATAAAACAGTGTATACATATACGGAAAGCCCAGTTTGCGTGTGGCGGAGCCGGCGCTAATCAAACAAATCCTGGTCAAAAATTTTACCTCGTTTAAAAACCGCGAGGCACCTAGCTGGAACGCTACCCTCATGTCCAAAATGCTTATACGGGCTCCGTATGAAGACTGGCGCCGCATACGGGTCATAGCGGGGCCCGCATTCACCGGCGGGAAACTCAAACATTTGTATCCACTCGTTGACCAGTGCTGTCGGGATTTGGTCAACAGACTGGACAGTCGGGTCGCCGCCAATGGGTCGCCGGTAGCGCTGCGGCCGTTGATTAGCGAGTATATAATGAGTGCGTTGGGTCAATGCGCGTTTAGCACCAAGGTCAACACCGATCCCACCCACCTGTTTACTACCGAACCGGAGGGTTACGTTTCTGTGCCCCTATGGAATGTATTTGTAACCAATGTTTTGCCCGCATGTTTAGTTGATAACCCTGTGGCCAATAGTCTGGCCAAATGGTGGCACTCGGACTACTTGTATCACAGGGTCTTCACCACCCGTCTGATGGCTGACCGCCGGTGCGACGACGCGGACAAACGTCACGATTTCCTACAGTTCCTAATGAAAGGCAGTCACCGGAGCGCGAGTGCGGCCCATCCGGACGTCACCGGCATTACCGACGAAGAGATCTTTGCCCAGTGTTTCTTGTTTTTCATCGCCGGTTACGACCCGACGGCCAACACTGTGTCGCACGCGTTGCACGAGTTGGCACTCAATCCCGATATTCAGGACCGGCTCCGGGAGGAGACCGCTATAAATGGTTACCGAGACAGGAATTATGAGCGACTTTCGCAACTCCCACTTCTCGACGCCGTCGTATCGGAAACCCTACGAAAGTATCCGCCATTAGTTCGTGTGGAGAGGGAGGCTGTGGAGGACGTGGTGCTCACCGACGATACCCAGGGGTTGAGTGTGAAGGTGGAGAAGGGAGTGGTAATAGAGGTCCCGGTGTATGCCATACATCACGATCTCGATCACTATCCCGACCCGTTTGCCTTCAAACCCGACCGATTTTTACCCCAAAATCGTCATCACATCAAACCCTATACATACCTACCCTTTGGCGACGGACCCCGTAATTGCATTGGTATGCGTTTTGGTCTACTGATGACCAAATTAGCCCTGGTCAATGTTATACAACATTTCCGTTTATATTACGTAAGCGATACCGATGCGAGCGTTAAATTTAAGCGTGGTAATTATGTGACGCAGTCAGAAATCAGTCAAGTCGGCTTTAAAAGGCTATTTTAGGATTAAGCATGTTCATCACATATGACTTGCTTTTCGTAGGTTAACGTAATTAAGTTTACATATACTGTAGTCAAAGTTGTTATTTCACCAAAAGTTGCGTTTCAACGCTCTCTTAAATTAAATTGTTTTAAGTAAATGTTATTCAAAATAATTAGTTATTTAATAAATATTTAATTTGTATTATTTATAATGATTTTGTTAATTAGAATTTGTAAATTGTATATTTTCAACAAAATTTTCTTTAGCAATACTTAATAAATATAATTTATTGGTATAATTTAATTTTTGTAATTAAACAAGGATTACACAGCGATGCTATACGTTAACCACAATTCGGGTATTGCTAAAAAGAATAGATTAGCATTGTCTATAGATTTAATATATGCATAATAGACTTGTCATAGACTTAGCACTAATTTCTTAGAGTTAACATTCATAAGTCCCATATAATCAATATTGTCCATAGATCCATTGCTCATAAAATTAACATTGTTCATAGACTTAACACTAGTCCCATAGAGTTATTATTGTCCATAGACTTAACATTGTTTATTGGATTAGCATTACCCATGTTATCCTTATGCCATAGACTTAGTACTATGTATATTTTGCATCCATCCTAATTTCAGAAAAAGAGGAACTTTTACTAAATCTTTAGCAATAATAGAGGATAAAAGAGGATACAACTTTTTACATTGATTTTATTGCAGATTTGAGTGATTTTTTAAAATAATTCTTTTAAAAATAAAAGAGGACTTTCAAAGAAGAGTGCTCAAATGAAGTCCAAATATAGGAAATTCCTCTGAAAAGAGGACATCTGGTCAGCCTACTTGCAACTGTCCATTTTCGATGGAGAAGTTGCACTGTATACAAGTGCAGTCTGTATACAGTAATTAATATTTTGAGAAATTAACAGCATTTGCTAAAAAGTTGAGTTCAATGAAAGTATAAATTATATTAACAAACAATATTTAATTATTGTCTGACTTTATATCTGTTGTATTTTGAACCACAATAGTTCGTTCAACTCTACTTTTATCCCAATTATCAACAGAACTATTAGGGTAATTCCAGTTTGCATTACTATTACCATGGTTATTATGGTGCTGATTATAGTCACCGCCATAATTGTCATCGTTTAGATGGTCCTCCAAAACCAAAGCCACGCCCCTCTCGCCGGCCAACATCGCCGCCGCGTTTATATTGGCGTTAATAGCCGTCGGATATATCGATGAGTCGATGACCCGTAGATTGCGGACACCCCTCACCCGTAGCCTCTCGTCCAGCACCACATCCCTCCTCCCGGCGCCGCCCATACGACAACTGCCGGTCGTGTGATGAAAGCTCAGCGCTCTTTGCTGTATAACACACCTGTGATACGAAACGCACCGCCACTTCGGACCCGTCGGACAGTATTGACAGCCGGGTATAGGCTGTGGGTTTACATCGATCAGTTTGGATACGGATGTCTCTTCGGTCAAATAGTAGGCATAGGAAATGGCGTCTAACATAGCCTGAAGGTCGTCCGGATGGGAGAGATAGTTGTTTTCAATAATAGGCAAATCCATGGGATTAACGGATCGCAGCCGCACCTGACCCACACTCTTGGGTCGGGTCAGGACTGGCACAACGTTCACTACGTCGACGTTAAGTATATTTTGAAAGTATTTGGCCCACTCCTCTACCCGGACACCCATTGGGGCGATGTTTGTGTAACTGAAACCACCCCTATTGATCACTTCACTTGTTATGGTTACATCGGGGTATTCCCAGTTGGGGTTAACACTAGAATTGAAATTGAGAAAAGTGATGGGCAGTACCAGTAGTGGTCCGGCATTATTAGTGATCACATCGTATAACTGCTCCACATTAGGGTCGGGCGCCGGCAACACATATGTCGTGTTTTTGATAATCATTGGTATCACAATTCCCACGTGATTCTGGATGTTCTGTCCGACCGGTAGGTCTGCCCAAATGGGTCCGATGCCCAGCCGCTGGAGCTCATCCCGGGGGCCAACACCTGAGAGCATTAGAATTTGCGGCGAACTATACGTGCCTGGGTGGTTTGACAATAACAATTGTATAAAATCGTATCATTACACGTGTCATAACATTTAATAAGTAAATCAATGTATAATACAATATAATACCTGCGGACACAATCACCTCTTTATTTGCTTTTACCACATATTGCTTATTGTTTTTAACAAACTCGACGCCATATGCAGTCGGATGGCTTGATTGGTGGCCAGAGATGAGTACTTTGGTAACAAACGCTCCTGCTACTATATCAAGTTTGGGGCATATGTTGGACTGCTCCAGGTATGAATTGGCCGTCGACTGTCGCACACCATTATTAACATTGAATTGCAAAACACCGGTGCCGTACTCTGTGGCCGCGTTTTGGTCTATTATGGGAAAGCCCTGTTCAACAGTAGCCGCGACCCACGCAGCGATGGTTGGGTCAACATTGGCCGCCGGCACTGACATTATGCCTACCGGTCCGCTATAGCCGTGATATTTGGGATCGAGGCTGCGGTCGGTTTGGTTTTCCGAGAGCTTGAAATACGGCAACACTTCGTTATAACTCCAACCTTTGACATCAAAACCACTGTCAAGACTGTCAAAGTACTCACGGCTTCCCCTGTCGTATATCATGAAGTTTAGGCTTGAAGTGCCGCCCAATACCCGACCCCTGACCTCAGGTATAGTATGATTTTCATAGGCCCAGCCGGCGTTCGGTTGCGGTTCGTTATAATACGGCCAGAGATGAGCAAATTGTTGCATGTTTAAATATCCATTACCCGGTATATCCATCAGAAGGGCGTCCTGAGCCCCACCCGCCTCCAGGAGTAACACATTATTGCCGTATTTGTTGGCCAAACGACAGGCAACTATAGCACCCGCACTGCCGGCGCCCACGACTATGAAGTCATACGTACTCT